GCATCACTTTGCATAATGAGGATGAATCTCACAGGGATGGGGAGGGAGTTTCTGTTGACCTCTGTTGACCTAGCATTCCAAAGCATGGGATGCTGATCTGGGCTGCTGTAGCATTGTGGTTCCTACTGGGAAAAGTGATAGCAAGAGGCATCTGGATTGTAACAAGAGTCTATTCTCTGTGTGAGTGCTGGTTACTTGGTGTCTACACCTTGTCAGGGTTCACAAGGAGATGGACTGTGTACTTTATGAGTGCTACACTTGATATAAAACTTCATGCATATACACATACACAGAGCCCCTGACTTACAGTAATTCAACGTAATAATTTATCAATTTACAGTGATGGCAAAATATTTACCTTTAGTAGAAAACATATTTCAAATTTTGAATTTGCATCTTTTTCTAGACTCGTGAAAAGAGGTGCCGACCTTTCTAGATTGGATAAGTGATAGTGAAGAACCCTAGTTCCCAGTCAGCCACACTGACACAATCCATAGCAGTGTGCTGTGCTGCTATTCGGCAGGTTAGGTTTATTCAGAGCATTTTCCACTTGTGAATGCATTTTCCCTTTGTATTTTAAATCCCTATTGAAAGGCAAAGCACATATGTATGTACATATATGTGTTGGTATACATGTGTATATGTGTGCATACATACATGTATATGCATATGTATGTAATATAAATATGTGTGCATATATACATATATATGATTTGTGTGTGCCTTTCCATTCTGTTTATTCAGATTTTTAGATGGAGTTGCAGTCAGCCTCTTCTCAATACTTTATCATTGCTCAGCAACTGTCAGATGGTAATAAATAATGGAAATAACCTTTGCAATAATGCAAAGAAATGTAATCTAGCCAGACAGATATTGGTACTAGAAGAAAAGTGGGCATAAAGTATCCTCAGTGCTATCAATTTCCAGAGAAGCAATTCAAGTAGCATTGGTGTCTTGCAGAGGCCTGTTGTAAATCTCAACAAGAAGGTGACCAGCAATGGCATCTCCACAAAGGTCGTTATGTTGTTCCTGACCTAGCTCCTCTCCATGAAGAGAGAGAGAATGTTGGTGGATGAGGTGGAATGTGGATGCATTCCCCTAAGGATAGTGATTGTAACTAAAGCAGAACAGCAAAGCTGTTCTGTAAAAATCATGACTTTTCCCCCCAAAACCTCAAATACTGAGTTAGTTTTCCAGACAAAGATTAACAACATCAGCCACAGCTTGTCAGAAACTCAATCTAGAACTACTGGAAATGTTAACCCAAAAATCACTGGCCAATTAAGAAACAGGAGCTCTGGCACTTTGGGCAGGGGACTAGAATTTGGCAAAGAGGACCAAGACCTATAGTCATGCCCATCATTGCGTTGTTATGGTATAGAAGCCACCTAAGGTTGGCTCAGATTTGATTCTGCTCTGGCAAAGGAGGCCCCAAGTAAACATCTCATGTGTACTTCTGGTTTAATGATCAACCTTCTAGGAGCTTTTTGAACAAGTTTTCCAAGGGGTTCCTTGTTTGGTCTGCCCAGAAGCATACTTAAGCTACAGTGAGGAGAGGTGGTCCATCTGGGAGGTGGCTCTGGGTATGACTGGAGACAAGCAAGGCCATGACACAGCAGCAGGAAAGGGCCAGCCTGGACAACCTGGGCCGGTGAGCCTTGAGGCTGTGAAGAGAGACCCTAAGGAGTTGGAGAAAAATGCTAAGGATTAATGCTACCAAGGACTAAAGTCCCCCCAACCCAGGCATCAGAGGACACTTAGGTTCCCTACAACTCAGCCCCAAGTCAGTTCTGCTTACCAGGGCTCCCAAATCCCTACACAGAAATTGAGAGACACCACGAGTGATTATTCCTATTTTCATCGACAAAGTATGGGAATTGCGTGTTTTTCAATAATGTATGAACACACACACACACACACACATACACACATGCACACACATACACACACTCCTGCATAAAGTGATCCAGAGGCTTCCAGGCTAGGTGCCTGGTGATAAAGAGCCAGCAAATCAGACTGCCAAGGGGAACTGTATGTAAGCCTCAGAGAAGCTGCTGCAAGCCAGTGTTCAACTCACAGATATAAATCGTGTTGTCATGTCATGCCTACAGGGTAATCTGTAGTTAGATTTCTTGGGGATGCTTATTGAGCATTCACTTATGCCACAGAGTTTCATGTGGAAGCCTGGGTGGAGAGAAGCCTAAGCTCCCAGTTTGGATGGATAAGCATATAACATCTACTCATACCTGAGATCCTTATCCCTAGGAAGTGCCAGTGTTTCTATTCCTTTGTTTTCCCCTCCACTAACACAGTAAGAAACTGGGATCAAGGACTGTTTGCAGAATTTACTGTGCTATCTTCTCGTAACAATACATTTCCACTCAGTTTCACCTTGAATGTGTGCAGTTCACAAACTCGGAGAGCCAGGTTAAGAACCTCTGCCCTCATGCCTAGTAAGAAAACACACTGAGTCTGAATCTATAGTCCACAAGTGGCTGGGATGGAATCTTCCTTCCCATTTGCACCATCCTCCCAAAGGGATGAGCAAGCTGTAATGTAGGCACAGTCTCTTGCTGTCAAATCATCTTCTTTTATCCATGGCATGCATAACACCTGTGCCTATGGGAGCATAGAACATAGGAACTGTTTCCATGAAATGTGGGCACCAAACATCCTTGCTGAAGAGAAGCCCACGTGTTAACCTTTAACTGCTGATTTTTACTATCCCCATGGCAATTCCTGAATGACACATTTCCTGGATCTTCATATCAGAAGCCTCAGAATTATGCCTAAAAATGCAAACTGATCGGTCCCCCCAGTGTAAACTAGGAGAATGAAAGAATGTGCATGATCAGAGTGAGCATTCTGGCACTATATGTGCCTAGAACCCTCAGTATCAGACTGGAACTTAGCTCAAAAGATGGGCAGGACCCCTCTTCTCCAAACACCCCTAGAAAAAATCAGAAGTGGGGACATTGGAAGTAGCTGATCTTGTAGAGCTTATGTACTAGGTCATTCATCAGTAGCTATTAACTTCCAATCCTCATGCCTGACCCCTGTACTAGCCCAGACCCCAGGGAGACCATAGTTAATGAAGGATTTGTAGACCTGGCTTCAAAAGTCAGCACACATGTTGATGCTGTTGATACAGAGAAGTTGCATTCAGGCGCATTCAGGGTCCTGATCAGCTAAAGGGGCCTCTACTCTCCTTGGAACTGGAGCTTCCTTCCTTTTGCCTGCTTTCCCCCAGCTTTGCCTTCAGAGAGGAGGACTGAGCTAAGGATGGGGATACTGGCAGTAACTACAGTAAAGCCACACTTCTGATGATCAACACTGTTTGGAGTTAATGCCAGGAAGGGCAATTACAGTAAATTATATTATAGGACACTGGGGTGTTTGGGAGTGCTAGTAGATAAAATGAAGCTCAGCTAATTATGAGTTAATTAATTAATTACTGTTGTCCTAGAAGACGTCTCATTTTGCATTCCCTCAACTCTGCTTCATCAAAAAAAAACTCATCCCCAGTGAGCGCTAAAGCACAGTTCCAAGGCAAAAAAAAAAAGGAGTGGAAAGAAACCTAGCCTTCAAGATTTAGAAGTTAGGAACAAGAGAAGGGGGCCGGTGGAAGATGAAAGTCCCTTCTGAACACATCACAGAGTCAGGAGATTGTAGAAGAGGAAAATCTACTTCATGAGATCTCTGAGTCTGATTCGCTATGGTTCATGGCACAGTGTGGGTGTAGAACTTACCTTCCCATGCCTGCTTAAAAATTGCAGAAATATCACACACAGACAACCTATGGAAATTAAGTCCAATAAGAGAATCTGGCTTTCCAGATATACCCCATGAGAGCAAGTTAGAACATTCCCCAAATCCTTCAATCCTGATCTTTGAGGCCCCTCAATTGGCTGGGGGTTAGCCCTCTTCAGCATCACACACAAACTCCTGAGCACCACAGCCTTGGTAGCATCTCATTCTATCTCCCAAGTGAGCTTGTTTGACTTGGATCATCTGTCCATATGGCTAAGTCTGAATCACACAACAGCCCCCACACTAACACAATGCAGGTGCATGTGTGTCACAGCAAGGAGTCTTCCAGCCAGCAGAGTCTAAACAAATAAGTACTTATTCTTCACATAATGAATTCTAGGGTAGGAACTTGCCACTGCCCCCAAGAAGGTAGGAACTGGAAGGGAGGAGTAACGTGTCATGTCAACTGTGAAAGAAAAGGGTTTAGAATGGGCTTAAGAGTCTGCCAAAAAATACCAAACCTGACACACCATCCAACCTCCATGTTCCTATCAACCTTGTGGACTCAAAAATGTGAATCTTATTTACCCTAAACCTTGTTACAAACAGAGTGTTCAAAAGCACAAGGAAGTGATCTTACTTGAAGTTATTTTGCCAGTGAGTGAGTTTTATCAAGTCTAGTCATGGCAGGGTGAGGGAACAGAAAACAGATGGTACTATGGCTCTGTGATGACCTAACACTGAAGACCAGCGTCTTAAGTATTCTGGGATCCCTTTAATAATCTCATATCCTCCTTTCCTCTCGTGGAAATAAAGCTATAATTTCTTTCCCCACACCTGTACTGGGAAGTGGAGATTTAAAAAGATAAGTGTGAGCCCACAGTACAAAGTGTTATTCACATGAAAAACAAATCTATATTTGATAGGAAGGGTGGGCAGAGGGAGGCACTGCAGGGGCACAGCCTCACCCCTACCTGAGAACCCAGATCCCACCTTGATGATACTCCAAGACTTGTTTTCCCAGAATAAAACTTAGTCCTTTCCTGCCTTGCTACATGGGGAACAAATGACAAACACTGACATATTCCTTCTTTGCAGGTTGGAGAACTACCCAGTGATTGTGTGGCGGGGGGAGACGTTTTCTCTAGAATCAGCCAAAGTTAAAGGTTGGGATGGAGCCACAGTCGAATCTTCCACGCTTTGATCCTTCCCACTTACTCACTGTCTCTTTTCCTTCTTTAATTCTGCAGACTAACAAAGCCGTGGCCAAAGGGGACTTCCATCAGGCCAGCACCAGTTCCCGGAGGGCTCTGTTCCTGGCTGTGCTGTCCATCACCATCGGAACTGGCATCTACGTGGGTGTGGCTGTTGCCCTCATCGCCTACCTCTCCAAGAACAACCATCTATGAGCTTCCTGCAGGCAGGCACGGAGGGGAGGAACCCAGGCCAGATCTGTGGGAACAGAGAAGGTAGAGCTGGCCAGGGGTAGATACACCTGTGTGATACTCTATAGTGAAAGCGATTGCAGAACGACTCCACGATGCCCTGGAATTTTCTACCCCTGGATTCCTCTTGTTTTTATCCTTCCATTTCATTTTCACAGCACAGTTAGAGCACCAGGCAGATGGGCACTGCTAATTCTTCCAAATGGGAGTTCCAAAGATCCCAGCCCACGAGGCTGTCTCTGGATGGATTCTGGTGAATTTAATGACAATGCAGCTCTCTCTGCAGCCTGCCAACCTGGAATGCCACTGCATTAGCAATACACAAACAGTAAAATTTTAAAAAGTGTTTATTTTTTATGGAATACGGTGCAATAGGCAGAGGGCAGGGGACATGTCACTCTGCTGTCTGTGGCCCACTTGACTCCTCTTTGTCCCCCGCCTCTATGTGATTTCTCTGCCAGAAGCAAATGGGACTGAGAAGAACATGACAGAACATCTAGAACATCTGCAGATGGGTCCTGCCTGGAGAAGACAAAGCCAGAATAACATGGAATCTGTCCCCAGACCCTGTTCCTTCCCACCATCGCCATGCTGCTACAGCTAGGAATGAATGTCAGACCATGTCCATGCAGCAGCTACCATGGCAACTTGCAGTCTTGGGGTCTCATTGGTGAGATGTAAGACAGGCGATAGCCCCTCCTGTGAAGTCTGGAGGAAGAGCCCAGTGCTTGCTGGGGAACCTGGAAGACACACAAGACACTTCTGAAAAAGCCACCCCTGCAGATGCTCGCCCTGGTCACAAGCAATGTCACTAGTAATCTGAGTAATGAGATGGGCCTTACTCTGTCAATTAAATGAATCGCTATTTTCTTGTCATTTTTTTAAAAGTGCACCTCTTGCTTCATGCTGCTTAAGTTATCAGATGAATGCTTTAAAAAGAAAACTATTCACGGACGTTTTAATACCATTTCATTGCTGTTTTTTGAGTGTTCATTATTTAACAAAATTATCTTTTAGCTTGTTTGCTTGAGACTTTTCTTTCTGACGATTCTCTATGGTTGGGTGTCCTTTGGAAGATTTACTTAATATTTAAATAACCAAAAAGGCAATAGAACTTGACTGCTCAAACAGTCGTAGGGTTATCTCCAAGTAGAGTGCGATTCACACACCCCTGGCTACATAAACATCAACCCTGGATACCACTAATGAAGGCTGTCATTCTGACCCAGTGTTCCGAACAGTGATTCTACCTGTCGTATTCAGAATTTTCCCGAAGCCTAGAATCCTGGAATCTGAGCTCCAAAAACACTGATTAGTTTGGTTAAGATGTGCAGTTTGGTGAATCCAATGTGTGCAGCTAGGGTGAGACCCATTATCCTAGAATAAAGGATTATCAGCCTGATTCTCCCAGACCCCTTTCCATCCCTCTTACCACTCTCCTCTTTAACCTTGATCATTTGCTCCTTTGAAAATCATTAGCACCATCTTCCTGGGTCACATCCAGAATTTGTCTTTAATAGACATCTTCATAGATCTTACCCATAGGAAGAATACATAAAAGGTCAAACACCCCCATATCAGCCAGAGTAACCTGGCAAAGAGAACATGGGGTCCAACCAACCTGCAATTGACATAGTTGTGTGATCTTGGACAAAATTGTCTATGCTTTTCTGAACTTTAAATCTGAGACAGAATAATTGACAAAGCCCATGTCATAGGTTTTCTAGATAATTCCATGGGCCTAAAGTACAATGCCCACCATGGGGTGGATACACAGTGAACAGAGCGGTGGTAGTTACCCTTGGTGTCTTTGCATACCATCTCATAGCCTCTTTGGTGTTTTTATTCCCCATTTCTCAGCTCATTCTCTCCAAGTTTACCTGTCATAAACCACTGTATAATATACTCTCTCTATAACATCCTGAAGTTATCTACTTACATTCAAGGCACACCCAAAGGCATATCTCTTTGGATTTGGTTGAGGAAACAAAATTCATCTTTATATCTTCATCATCTTTTTTTCTTGGGGGGTGGGGTCCAGTCGTGGCGCCTGAACTCTGGGCCTGGGTGCTGTCCTTCCTCTCTTCAGCTCAAGGCTAGCACTCAACCACTTGAGCCACAGCGCCACTTCCGGCTTTTTTCTTTTTGCTTATGTGGTGCTGAGGAATCGAACCCAGGACCTCATGCATGAAAGGCAAGCGTTCTACCACTGAGCCACCTTCCCAGCCCCTCTTCATCATCTTTATATCTTCACCCACCACCTCCATCAGCTCTAAGCCAGATCTCTGTGCGCTCCTGCTAGACCAACTGTCCATTTTATCCTAGTTCTGTCTTTTGAGAGCTACAAAAGTTCTTCAGTGCATAAGAGTCCCACCCTCACTGTACTTTCTCAAGTTTTATAGATTTTTTTCTGAGAGCCAGGCACCAAGACAATTTGCCAAGTTGGTGAGTATGGTCATAGTGTATGTGGGGGTCAAAACAACCAAATGGAGCCATATGGCCTGGCAGCTCGTTTGGTGGGCAGAAACGAGGCATAAACTATTATGTGTCCATTTTAGCCTTGGTGATTGCAGAGAAAGTGTTTGACCTTCAGTGGCTTGTAATCTGAACCTCCCTAAGCTACACTATCATGGTAGTTGTAGACACTGTTGGCTAAGTCTGGCCCTGAATGCTTGTACACATTATCTCATGTAATCTTCCCAAGAGCCACAGAGGGGAGGTGAGAGGGCTGCATTCACAGAAGGGAACGATCGGAGCCACAGACTTAGCCAGCTGTAGTAGAGGACAGAGTCACATCTGTACACACCCTGCCTGGCTCATCACAGGTTACAGAGCCTTTGCTGCCATCTGCTCCCTGCCCCTGTACCAAGGGCAAAATGTCTTTTCCATAGCCGCTTGGCCAGAGCTGCCTTTTCAGAGTCCCTGGCCTGAGTTTCGGTACCTCACTTGTGAAGATTTATGGAGTATCATTAAGGCTCTAGTGGACTTGTTAAAATGCTAGCCCCTTGGACAGGTGCCAGTGGTTCTTGCCTATAATCCTAGCCACAAAGGAGGCTGATATCTGAGTACTATAGTTAAAAAAGTCTGTGAGACTCATATCTCTAATTAAACACCAAAACATGAGAAGTGGAGCTGTGGCTCCAGCCTTGAGCAGAAAAAGTAAGGGATAGCACCTAGGCCCTGAGTTCAAGCCCCAGTAATAGCATATGCAAGCCCCTTATGGGGACATAATTGCCTTTGTTCCTGTACTGCTTGTCATTAGTATTGACAGTTGTTGACCCAGTATGACAACAAGTCATTACGTGTCCACACAGAGCCTGAGCCCAGGCTGACCTCTGGGAATGTGCAGCTGTGCATCACCCATGTAGACCAAGCATCTGCTGTGCTCTCACACATTCACGGTATCAATGAGCCAGAAGTGGTATGAGACTGTGGCTATGATGCCCCATTCCCTTGAAAATGAGCCTTTTGAAAGCTCCTCCCAGAGGTTCAGAATGACTTCAGCTGTCCTCGGGCCAGGGCCCAAGGACTCTTGGTTCCTGTGCTTCTTACCTGAAGATTCAGCTCATCTCTGCAGAGCAATGTTAAACCCACTGGCACATGAGACCTGCAGAGGGCTGGCTCCCTGCCAAACAAGCTTGTAAATTGAGTAACAAATTTGTCAGCCTGCTGGGCACTCCAGGAAAGGGGTCAAAGCTCCATATGGGGTGAGGACTATAAAAGCAGGAACTACTAACCCTGATTTAAGGCATGATGGGGCTCAGGATCACAGGACAGGTGACACTGCAGGGATGGGGGATGGGACACAGCCTTCTGTGGCCTTGGAATAGACTCCAGAACAATAAGGGCAAAGGGCAGCTCCCAGAGAATGGGGACATTTGAGAGTAGAACTCTGTGCAGGTCTATGTGCCTAGAGAGCAATGGAAGGTGATGGGGCAGAATATGGAGCCTGCTAGGAGAAGCTCTGGGCTTTCCAAACACTGAAATATAGGTGGCACCTGCACTGCTTTGGTTGAACACTATACCAAACAAGCTTCTGTTCCAGGAAGAGGATAAAGAGCTAACTCCTCTGGGTTCGGTCAATGCTGCTGCCACCATCGCTGCTGCTGTAATTTATTTTGCTTTGCTATTGAAAACCCATAGGATAGGACAGAGAGGGGGCGGGAGGCTTGCATGTCTTCCCAGCACCTAGGCATGCACCAGGGGAGCAAACACTGAGTCAGTACAAGGTACTCTGCTAGGAATCACATAACTTGTTCTCTGAACTTGTTCTCTGAAGCCCCTGATACCTCCAGGGCACTGTGCTTTACTTTCCACTGAAATCAGAACATTTTGAACTGATTATAATACACATAGATAGAGAGGGACATCGGTAAGTTATTATTGGATTTATGAGCAAGGAACAGAGATGACACAGAATCAGGACTAGCAGCACCACATACACCTCTGAGCCAATACCCTCTATTGTCATAGGGCTTTGCCTCTGACAACTCATGACACCTGAGTCCAACTCATAACTCAGCCAAAATTAACCATGACTTAACTCTATGTTTACCATACACAGAATCCATCTTTAGGGCCCAATTATTTGATTAAACCAACTAAGATGAGTGGGTGGGATAAGATGGATGGTGGTCCTCTTAGTCATGTGAACTAACAGTTTTATTCCCAAATATCCTTTTTTTTTTTTGGTTTGGCTTGGATAGGAAAGTGTTCTTGGTAAGTAGTAGGAATCTGCTAAGATTGTCTTTATACTTGCAAGAGCTGAAATAGTCAAAAGATTCATAAAGGGCTGTAAAATCTCTCCCACTTAGCACAGTTAGGTAAGTCTTCCATTTATTCTCTCAAGAGGCCCTTGTGTAATTAGAAGCAAGGGACAGCTGCCCAGCGATTGTCTTTAAATTAGAAAGATCAGACCCACTTCAGTTTTCTTCCTCTGTCTTTGAGTCTGTGATGAAATTTAA